GTAGGGTAGGTAGGTAGGTAGGTAGGCAGGCAGGCAGGTAGGTAGGTAGGTAGGCAGGTAGGTAGGTAGGTAGGTAGGCAGGCAGGTAGGTAGGTAGGTAGGTAGGAAGGATACGCTAGCTATTTATTTATCTGTTTTTTTCTGGTTGCATAATCTCAACAGTTCAATATCGTGGAGCCAAGCTGCCAGGACACGTCGCCGCTTGCGTCGCGATACTTGAACGTCGCTTTTGCTTCGCACCGCTCTTTGGACTTTAATGGCGGCTTGCAATTCTTTCCACCTGTCTTCGTCGCGATCTCCTTGACCTGCTACTCCACAGGCAAACTCCACAGCTGAACCAGTCCACTTTCACGGCCGAACACTTGTAAGGCTGGAGCTTTGTCGAAGAAGACTTTTTGGAACTTCTTGCAGCGCTCGATCAGCTCGTCCAGATTATTCACATACTTCTGGTAGTTGAGCTTCACGCTGTAAGCAAGTCGCGCCTTCGAATCTCTCGAAAGCACTTCCGCCATCTCAGGAGCCACCTTGTAGGATTCCATGAGGCTTCTGCCTGTAGGCATCTCTTTCATGCAATGTCTGAGGATGTCTGAGGATGTCTGAGGCGCGGGGTAAACGCACAAAGGCAAAAAGCGTATCATCTGAATGAAGGCCGGCCACTCAGCTCTCTAAACTCCTCCAACTTCTTCTCTCCCCCCACTTGCTCCAGGGCATCTTTGTAGCTCCTGGCCGCTGGCCCGCTCACGGACCAAGGACTTACAGTAGGAGTACATGACCTGAAATCCAAGCCTCACGTGAACCCCTTCTACAAGAAAGCCGAGACTCGTCGGCTTTTCTTTGCCTTCCAGAAATTCTTTATGTGGCGGGACTCGCTCTTCCTGTTCCTGCTCACACGACACTCTGCGTTCATGTTTGGCCGCAGGACGACCCAAACCAAAAGCCACCGAGAACGAATATAGGAGCGCCATGCCGCTATGCATCGGGGGCTCTGCTTTAGACGAGGTCTTCAAAGGGTTCTTATATGTTCTTATCCACAGCCTCAGAGTCCGTGTCGCCCGACAGCTGACGCGAGATGCGCCTTTCGAGCTGGGTCACGAGCTGGGTCGCCTTCGGAATTCAGTGGAGCATATTCGCATTTTGTTTGCTTAATTTGTTTGTGTTATTGAAAACATACGTCTTATCTGAAGCTTGAGAAGCGATGTGTTTGGTTAGGGCTTGGAGGTCCGGGATCCTTGGCGCATGCGATCATTCACCTTTTCAGGCGTAGAGCCGCCGGAGCTCTGGAGGGCTGTACCTCGCAGAAGCCAATGCTTCTTGCAGGCCTTTCCTTGTTTCTTGCGGCCCGGAACTGCAAGCGAAAACCTAACGGGCCCCTAAGGCTTCAAACCCGACAGCGCGACCACGGAAGCCGAAAACTGGCGCCACATCCTGAAGGTCCTCATCAAGAATTGCGCTCTCTTCAGCGGTCGCCTCCGCATCCCAGTCCTTCGCAAGCTGCGTGAGTTGCTGCTGCAGGTCCTTGATGTCGCGCGTGACCTTCCCAGATGGTGGGCCGGGAGGCGCCCCGGTACCAGTCAGGATGCCGTGGCAAAAAAACAAAATGCTTCTCTTCTTCCAGGATGCTGGCATCCGTCGCGGTGACGAGACTAAAACGTCTTAAAGCAATGAGGTCTTAGGGTCATGTGGGTCATGCAAGGCTTTGGTCATCTACGGCTCGGGCATTCGTCAATCCCTTGATGTCAGAAGCCGAAGCCCTTGCTGACATCCTGAAGCTGTCCATCCCCAAAACCACACGATCATCTCGAAACTGTGTCTCTGGTGCAGTTTGGTTTGTGTCGCGGGCTACATTCTGCAGGCCTTTGTGGCTTCAAGAGAGATACGTGAATGCAAGTGTTTGCTGGAAGCTCGGCACATTCATGCCGCCTTGGATCCAGGATTGAAGGACTTCGGATGTGGACTCTACGCTTCTAAGGCTTCCGAAACTTCGATGATTTACCCATCGTTCGAAAACAAATCCTGCGCGACGAAGCAACAAGCAAACATCATGTTTTCGTACGGGCCTCTCCAAAGACCCGTCTATTCGCAGGCTTGCAATGTTCATGTTAAGGGGCAGTCTCTCAAGAAATCTTCCCACCGGCAGAGGGTCTGTTGCTGTTTGCCCCCTTCGTCTAGGCCCCGACTCCTTGAATCAAAGGAGCAGGGGAAGGATGTGCAGCAGGTGATTTAGCTTTGTAAACGCACATTGAGATGCTCATGCGATGGTTGCTTCCCAGAAGGTCTGACTTTAAATCCTCACCCGCATCAGGCCACACCACTGAGTAGAGCTAACAGCCACTCCACAAGCATCTCAAGCGCAAGATAAGCCAGCCTTGCACCCCAAGCCCCCTGTCGCGCCTTCTTCTCAAGCTCCTGCAGCCTGGCTGCCCCAGCTTCAGCCTGCGCTCGTGTCATAACAGAGGCCAGTCCGTGGTTTTGGTTCGTTCTACGCTCGAGCCGCTCGAGGTCTCGGCTGTGAGCTTTAGGCTCTTAGTCAGCTATCGCGGCTCCAGCAGCCTGCAGCTTGCGCACATCTTGCTCGAGATTGGCGACGGTCTGCACCAACGCCTCCAGAGCCTGCACTGCTCCGATCGGAAACAGGGCGAGAGCTGATGAACTAACGCAGTGGCACGGTGGTCGTTCGGATGACAAGGCACTTTGTTAGGAGAACTACAGTGCCCAGCGCCGAAATCATGTCGGCGGTTCAGGCCTCGACGGGCGCTGGCGGAGCCGTGGCATGGCTAGGCTCCTGAAGGACTTGTAGAGATAGAGACAGGTAGACACGTATGCGGGTATACGTAGATATAAGTAGATATAGATATAGATACAGATATAGCCAAGAACTGGCAGCGTCAGGCAGCGTGAGGCTCAGAAACCCGGCCGCATGATCAACCAGCTGCTTGCTCCTGATGCCCATCACGGCTGAGAACTGCTTTGGACACACCTCGCACGAAGGGGCAGGCGCCAAAGCAAAGACAAGCATCAAACAAGCTCAGCAACTATGGGTAGGATGCATGGGCAGCCGATGGGCTCCACTAGTGCTGGCCTCCGGAGTGCGGCCACAGTTTAAGGCCGACAAAGCCAAAATCTTCGGTACTGAACGCCGATGCTTCATTGAGGAACTGCCACGGCAGACCTCCTACGTTGGATGTTCAGGCTTTTCTCCCAGACTTGCCCTTCTGGTGTTGGGACCTGGGGATGCATGGGTAGTCCAGAGCGTCTAGACTCGACGACGGCTACCGTAAGCTACGTAAGTGCGGGAAGCCACTCCGAGAGAGCCCAGATCTCGCAGGCAAGACACCAAGCGACCTTCTCAGAAGCAAGCTTGCAGCCAGGTGTCGGTCGGCTATGTTCTCAATCCGGGCATTTAGCGTCTGTGACCTGAACAGACTTACGGAGAGAGGAATCGAAAGACGGATGTCCAAAGCGAGACTCACGACCTCTGGTTTGGTTCATGACAGGTTGACGTTGGATCTTGCAAGGTTCAAGCTGTAGCATGTAGTCGAATCTGCGCTGATCTGCGCTGGTTGTGGTGATTGTCGCGGCCCTTTTCTGCGTACAGTCAAGAAGGAGCAGCCTCGATGGTCGGGGTTCACAGCCATGCGACCAGATGCTGGGAGCCAGGCACACGCTCTTCCAAAGCAGCACCGAGACGGTCCACCTGGCTCTCGGCACAATCACAAAGGTGCGTCTCTGGTGACGGGACATCAAATTCAAAACTTCTGGTGTGCCCCTCTCACGTAAACCGCAGCTTGACGGCCAAATTGCAATTTCAACCTGCAACCCACCATTGGCACGCCTTCTCAGAACAAATCAGTTGCCTGTCCCCGAGCCGACGTCCTAGAAGTGAGACCTTGAAAAAAACCAAGACCCAGCCTTCTCCTGCGTGTGCTTGGTCACTTTCGCCTCCCAGGCTCAAGGACGGAAGACAACGGCGGAGGGGCGGGCGGGGAGTCAGACCTTCTGCTGCAGTTGAAGTAAGTGGAGGGTGGCAGGCAAAACTGAAAGCAAAACTGTCAAGAGCAGCAGACAATACAGCCAAATATTGCCACCAAAGCATTTTGCAAAGTTTCTCCCGGAACTACACATAAGTCCGATAAGGGATTCCGAGGCTTGTGCTCGGATGGGCCTCGATCTCATCCAAAGCTCCGGACAGCCGAAGAGCCACATGGCCTGGTTTGGGTGAGCACAGGCTTGGGTACTGCTTTCAAGGCCATGCGGGCAGATGAAATTTCAGCTTCACACACGGCCTGCCAACCCTGAGTGGGTGCATCAACAACCCCGTCCTCTGCAGACTCTGGCGCAAATCTTTGCTGCACCGCGCTGCTCGCTATGCCCAGACCGAAGCACAGAAGCAGAACCGTCACCTATTCCCACTTTGAAGCTGAGCCTGCACGGTGCTACTGTAACCACCTGCACCAGCATTTCCCCAGGTCACGACGGATCCATTGCCGAGAATGGCAGCAAAAGCGCAGTCCGAGGCTTGGATCTGCTGCACAGTTTTCAGCTGATCCTGTACACCACTGCAGTCACCCCCTGAGTAGGTATCACCCCAGGTTATCACGGATCCATCGCCAAGAATGGCAGCAAAAGCGGTGTTGGTGGCTTGGATCTGCTGCACATTCTTCAGCTGGCCCTGCACAGTACTACTGTCACCACCACTTCCAGCTTTTCCCCAGGTCACGACCGACCCATCGCTAACAATGGCCGCAAAAGCCGCACGGGAGGATTGAATGTGCTGCACATTCCTCAGCTGGCCCTTCACAGCTCTACTGTCACCACCATCACCAGCATTTCCCCAGGTCACGACCGATCCATCAAGAACGGCGGCGAAAGCAGTGAAGGAGGCTTGGATCTGCTGGACCGTCTTCAGCTGATCTTGCACAGCACTGCTGCAGGCACCACGGGCAACATGACCCCAAGTTGTGACAGTTCCATCACCAAGAACGGCAGCAAAAGCGCCGTCCGAGGCTTGGATCTGCTGCACCGTCTTCAGCTGATCCTGCACAGCGCTACTGTCACCACCACAGGCGGCATTCCCCCAAGTCACGACAGTGCCGCCGTCAAGAACGGCAGCAAAAGCGCCAGCAGAGGATTGGAGCTGCCGCACATTTCGCAACTGCTCACTGTCAGGACCAGATAAAGACCAGATAAAGCATGACCCCAGCTGACGACCGCTCCATCGCTAAGAATGGCGGCAAAAGCCGTCTTCTGCGTCGTTGCAGAACTCGTCCGTTCAATCACACAGCATGCTCCAGGACATGAGCAGTCTGCAGAAGTCTTAGTCGACTCGACGATGCTCAGGCGTTGGCGAGCACTCTCCATCTCGGTCATAAAACTCATCTGTGCCTCAACAGGCCGATATGAATACCCAGAGCTGGTGCCTCATGTTGCTGCCTTTGCCAGCCATGGCAATGCGATTCCGGAAACATGGTGCCCCAAAATTTGACAGACCCAATAGCACTCGGTACAGCACCGATGCCCAGAAGGAATGCATAAACCCCGCCTCTGATCTCACTGCCCGGAATGCGCACTCCAACTCCTGGGCCAGGTTTCATGTATGGCAGGCTGCAGCCCGCATCGAGAAGAAGATGCATCTTTGACTACACAACAACTGTTGCAAACTAGAATGTTGCGTACTGTATGGCAAATTACATACATTGTATATGATATGTCCACTTCTGTTAGGTTATGCTAGAATGGATTATGCCTTTTATCATAAAATGTCAAGACACATCATGACAACTCATGGCATCTCTCATGCTGTCTCACAGCATACCATATCATGTCTTCTTGTGATGTTATACACTATCTCTCTCTCTGCCGTTGCATCCAGCAGGTACTTTGTTACCTTACATTCTATCACAATAAACTTTTGTTATACTATTTTACACTGTTTTATGTTGCACCGTCTCTGCATATCATATCATATCATGTGTATTTTTGCTTTTATCTTACATCCAGCGCAACCCTGCAAGCTGCTTCACCCAAACAAGACATTCCCCCATGTAAACGCCGTCCGAGATGGCATGCGTGTAATCGGCAATGATCTAATAGGACCCCTGTCCCCAACTAAACATAAGTCGCACCAGAGGTGCTGCGTGACTTTTACATACATGACATACATCGATATGCGCAACGAACACGACAAACACCATGTAAAAGCTTCGAAATGCTGCATGGAGGACATCCTACATCAACTCACGAAACATAGCATAACACCGTGCATACTACACACCGTATGATACACACTTAAAAAAAAAACATACACATACACATAGACATATACATAGAGAGAGAACAGAGAGAGCGAGAGAGAGAGAGAGAGTGAGAGCTCTGCCGCGCCTTAGGATCGACACCGAGGCTCAGAGCTGGTCGGAACACCTGGGCTTGGTCTAACCTACGGTCCCTTGTTGCAACAGCTTAAGGCCCAAGGCGGACCAGTACAATAGGTACTGTGAAGGAAACTGATCTACAGCAAGCCCCCTCTTCTCCTTCTGAATGTTTAAGATTTAAAAAATGCTGCTTACGCCCGTGCTTCTCTTCCTACTATTTTCTTGATTATGTTATTCGTCTACTGCTTCTTTTCCTGC